TAACAAATGTGTCCCAGGAAATGGCAAGCTGTAACCCAAGAAAACTCCATGTGTGAAATGAGGATCCTTGACTTATGAACAATAACTTCTGTATCCTCCTGATGGACTGTCCAGTGTTCACATTTCAGGTGCCCACCGTTGCTATTGCTGTCGTGTAGTTTCCACTTTTCGTGAATCGAAGGAAAACAAGGGCCCTGTAGAGATCATGTGGTCTCCTGGGAATAATGTCTTTGAGCCGGTACCAAAACAGATGTAACATTATTATCCAGGTGCTTGGGGCAGCACATTTTTAGGATAAAATGGTTATTTTGTTGTTGTTGTTGTTGTTGTTATTGCATAGAAAAAGCACCAGGGAAGGTAGTTCAAGGGCAGAATCTGTGTAGACTCTAACACGGATCAAACACTTTGTTGGGTGGGCGATCATAGCCAGCAACGATGAACTAAGTAACTCAATGGGAGGGCTTTGAAATGAGAGAGGTTTTCCTCCAGCGCATAAGTTCTTTAGAATAATGTTGATTTGTTTTTCAAGATATAAACCAGTGTAACTTAGTGAAATCAAGGTTATCACTCATGTATGTCAAAACTAACTTATTGAAATTTGGCTGGAGGATACCTAATTCATCGTAAACAATTTCTATACACTTAAGCTGAAAATATATCATTTGTGAAAACATTCAAGGCCGCTATAATTTCCATCCATTCACAGTGAAATTTTTACAAAACATGTTTTGTTGCCTGTAGTTTTGGGAAGATTCTTTACCTCAATGTAGTTGTGTATTCATTTTTCACAGCATAGTTCATTCATTCCACTCCTAGGTTGAAAATTCATTGACTTTACTTTTTTTTATTATTTTAAAGATTTTATTTATTCATTAGAGAGAGAGCAAGCACACCAGCAGGGGGAGAGTTAAAGAGAGAGGGAGAAGCAGGTTCCTGCTGAGCTCCAAGCCCGACGTAGGGCTCTATCCTAGAACCTGGAGATCATGACCTGAGCCAAAGGCAGAGCTTAACCATCTGAGCCACCCAGGCACCCCTTCCTTGACTTTCTTAGGCATAATGTCTGCATTTGTGGGAATGCATATGTGTGTGCTTGTTGTGAATCCAGAACCACCGCCCCCCACACTAAATTGTATTGTTCCTTGCTTACATGTCTTATCTCCTCTGTAAAACTGTGGACTTCTCAAGAGCAGGAACCACCTCTTTCTATCCCAGCCCAGCACATGATCCACAATTGCAGGCTCCTGGATCAGCACCAAGGATCAAGGAATGAATAAGACAAAGGCTCTCCCTCAGGAGTTCATTCTGAGGCACTATTAAAAATTTCTCTGCCTTTATGTTTCCTTTTGTCATTGAAGAATTCTGGAATGTAATGGTTAGAAAGGAAACTAGGGTACTTCTTTGTATGTGATCTGAAGCTCTCATGTGGTAATTGTACAATTTTCCTTCTGTTTTTTGAATTTAAAATCCTTACATAATCATTCTTAGACGAGTCATTCATAGATTTAGCTATTATCATTTCATCGCTCCGAAATATTTTCTCCAATGTGGCTCCAGTTCTGAGAGCATCTACTTTGTAAGTAACACTAAGTACTATAACAAGATAAAAATTAACCCTCTTAGTGCCCTCTGTCTGTTTTTTCATGTTTTAAAACATTTTCATGTTTTATTTTCCTTTTATTCTTATCCTATTCATATCAAGATGCACTTTATCTTCTTTAAAGTCTCTTACGTTTATTTTTTTTATTTTCACATTTTGCTCCCCAGAAGACTTTGAATTTTTTTTTTCCCTTCAATGATCTCTTTCTGTTTTACTGTGCATTTCCATTTTTGCCAAAGCTACTTTTCAAGGTTTTGAAAAATTAATTAGGCTTCCTAATACTTTTTTTTTTTAATTTGTGGAATTGTTTTCCTAGTGTTCTTAATATTGCTTCCTGATGGGACAGCTGGCACCTTCACCTTGTGGACATTACTACATTATAGCACCATAATTGGTGTTCATAGCAATGACCTTGAGATATCAAGGAAATATAAGTTTTTTTGAAGCATACTATTTTGCTTATTTACTACTTTTTGGAGGAAGATTTTTCTACTGTATAAGAAATGGTCCTTGCCTCCAGGATCTTACCATCTAATGGGTAATATGCATGCAAAAAAGGTATGACAAAATCCAGCGTGTCTGTATGTGATGAGAGTACACGAAAAGATACGAGAACCAAGAACTCATTTTCTGCTATGATGGTCTGAGAGGTTTTCATGAAAGATTTGAATGGAATTTGAGTTGAACAGTGAGCCTTGGAAGTAATTTTAAGAAGAAAAGAGGGGTAAAGATAGATCATTCTCCAGAGGGAAGTCTGAAGGACACAGCAAAAAATGAATAAATTGACTGGCTGCATGAGAAAGTTCATATAAGGTGATAATTGTAATATTGCTAGATAAGTAGATGGGTGTCATACTGGAGGGGCCATTTTGTTTGCTAATCTAATAGTCTGTATTTAATTCAGCAGACCATAGAAGTAGTGATTTTTTTAATTAAGGTTTTTTGGTTTGTTTTGTTTTTGTTTTTTGTTTGTTTGTTTTTTAAATTAAGCTGTCCTCAGAAGAGGTCAGCAGTCAGGATTCCAGGGGTATGGAATGGAGGCACAAAGCCCAGTTAGGAGATAACGGCTTTAGTCCGGGTGTGAGCTTAACACAGGCCTGCTCGAGGTTCCTGTCTGAAGTGTGTTCTCATGGAGGCTGAGCATAGAATTTTCAGAGGAAGAGGAACCAGTCTGAAATGAAAACTGATTTTTTTGTGGGGTGGGAGGGAGATAGTGGGTCACCCTGGTAGAAGTTTCCAACGTTGGGTGAAAAATGTGGGTCATGCTTTAGTACTGGAAAGTAAGCAAAGTGAGGACTTCATACTGACTTTCCAGGCAAAAAGGGGCAAGAAATGCTATTTGGAAGCCATTTTTTCCCCCTAACTAGTTATTGTTCATCTCTTACTAAGAAAGCAAAGACTGAGTTTCTTTTTAAATAAGAATAGGAAGAGGTAAGTGGAGTGGAAAATTCTGGTAGTAGAATACTAATTAACCCCTAGGAAATTACTAGCAACACTCCCTGGATGGGAAATACATTTTCAGTGATGGTTAAAGAAACTCAGCAGTGAAAAATGGTTCATCTAAAGTTCAGACTCTAAATCCTTTTATTCTCAGCCATGACCCAGCCAGGCTGCTTCCCTTTGACTTATCCTTAATATTCTGGGTATTAGTAACATCTCTGAAGAAGGTGATGGTGTGTGCCTCTGTTGATGCAATTAATAATTATCTTATTATTTAACCTCTTACGTTAAAAAATAGTTGCTTTTATTATTATACATGCCCTGAGCCAAATAATTTTGATAGGCTTATCTCAAGTTATAATAAACAGTTTTAAAAAAAATGGATATTTCAGTCATGCATACTTAGCCAGTTTGCAGTAGTTATAAGTGGTTAGGTATTACTTCCTGTTGGATTAGCAGTTGCTGAGTAGTTGAGTCTTGGTACAATCCTGCAATCCACTAATGTGATATTTAATGAGGAGACATCAGTCTGGAGAAAGGTAGTCAATATAAATCAGTGTTTACAAAGTGTGATTAACTCTGAAATATTTCATCAATGCTGTGGTCCCAGGCAGACTCTATGCTAATTACTAGAATCTGTGCATGTTTCAGGGGACTTAGACGGACCCTGAGTATTGCAAACATGGAGTAGCAAAATTGCAATTATGCTCGGACCGTCTCTGATGACAATTTATGCATTTGGTGTGATGACCTCCCCCTTCCCAAGAGGGCAATAAACAGAATGCATTTTCATTAAGATACTAATGCACTTAATCACAAGGGGAAAGGGTTAGGAAGTAAGGAAAGACCTTCAAGCACTGTGTGACAGAGCTGATAGGGGAGAGAGGCTTTATTTTAAAGGCAGCTTCTTTACAAAGCTGTAGGCAGCCCTAGAGCACATCCCACACGCTGTCATTAGCATTAATTGAGAAAGAATTTCAAGTTAAAGTTTGGATCTTCTTCTGGCTACATATGTATCGCTTCAAATGTGTAAGTAGGACCGTAAGTAATGTCAACTCTGACATTAAAAATATCGTTTCGTAGCAGTTTCTTTTTGTTTATAATACTTCCTTGGAGCTTGAGTGTTTGGAATTCATTATGCGAATGTAACAAACATGCTGATGACGACCAGCATCGTCGTTGTCCTCCTCGTCCTCAATAAACGTTTACTCAGCAGAGAACTGTGTTGTAAGGCCTGGGTAAGCGTGGTCACGAGAACCATGTCATTTCCGTCCCTGTCCTCTAGGAGTTTACTGTCAGGCTCAGATTAGCCTGCTGATCATTTTTCACAGCGGGGTTCATGCTGTTTAGTGTCACAAGGACAATAAGCCTGATACATTGGAATATTAGTAACCAATAGAAATCCAGGACTGATGATACAAGAATATGATTTTGATATTCATGCTTTTATGGAAGTAATTTGCTTTGAAATTTCTTTGGGATTCTAAAATTCTGGAAGATTGTTATTTTGCATGGGTAGACTAAGCATAATGTTTTAAAGGCTAACTTTAAACTTGGTCTTTTGAGATCCTTTACCACGTATCTTCTAAATATTCCGTGCTTCTTTTTTTTTTTTTTTTCCTCCGAGAGAGGGAGAGAAAGTGGCAGGGTGGGTGGAGAGGGGCAGAGGGAGAGGGAGTCTGAAGCATGGGGCTCGATCTCAAGTCTAAGATCATGATTTGAACCAAAGTCAAGAGTCAGACCCTTCACTGGCTGAGCCATCCAGGTGCCCCTATTCGGTGTGTCTTACACGGTTGCCACAGAATGTCCCGCTTCATGACGTTTGTGACATCCTAACGAGTCTCATGTGACTTGTGCTTTTGAGAAGGGAGGCAGACGTAGCGGAGTAGGCATTGCCTTTGGGGTGCTCACGTTTCCTGGGTCTTGCGAATCTAACTGCTTTTCTTCCAACCCTGTGTTTTAGGTAATATAGAATACAGCTGCCCTGCCACGAATGAATGTGAAATCACTAAGCGCAGACGTAAATCCTGCCAGGCTTGCCGCTTCATGAAGTGTTTGAAAGTGGGCATGCTGAAAGAAGGTAAGGCGTGTTGTGGGGGGCCTGTGCTTTCGCTTGGGGATGGGGGAAGGGCGCGTGCAGGGAATTACGGAGACACTAGAGAAAACCAGGAAAAGATGGGGTCACAGTAAGCACTCCGAATCCGATGGCAGAATACATCTTTACGCCTGAGTTTTCTGATATGTCCTGGCTAACTGCATGATATCAACAGGAAGGGACAAGGTAGGAAACACCTGATGTGCAGCTAAACCCACCAGGTATGCTTGGTAATTCTGACTCTTTTCATCTTTATGAGTTGCAGAAGGCAAAGGACAAAGGACACCAAAAGGCTAGTCCTTGTCTTTTTGTGTTTCTTCTCATTTCTAAGTTTGCAGGGAGATTTTCCCCTCCACCATTGCTAAGATGTAATTGACAAATAAGAATTGTGTATATTTAAGGTGTATGACTTGAAGTTTTGATATACATATGTATTGTAAGATAATTGCCACAGTCGAGCTAATTAACAGACCCATCATTTCATATTGTCACCACTTTAAAAAAAATAATAATATTAGGTTTAACACACTCTTTATTTTTTTCCAATCTTATCCTTTGGACTTAGGTTCTTTTCTAAAAAGCTTGTAATAATGATACTAAAATTGTTGCTTTCACTCAGGGGGAACACCAACAAACACAGAATAATAACAGTGACCAAGGATTCAGTTATGGCCTGAGCTCACACAGCTCACAAGTGGTAGAGCCAAGAACCGAGCAGAGGGTCAGATTCTAGAATTCACTGACTTCTTCCACCCATATCCAAGGTCCTGAAATATTTGTATATGTCAGCATGTCCAACGAAACTAACATTTTAGCTTGGAGCTAGGAAGAAGTTATTCTTTTCTTTGGAAAGCCTGGGTAGGTTTTTTGTTTTTGTTTTTAAATGCATCCCTGTCTATATGTTTTTGTAGATGCGTGTTTCTTTTTTTATGGTTTTAGATTTTACTATCTCTTTCTCTTCAGAAAATTTGCCAGAGTTTAATATAAATATGATAATTTTATGAAGTGACAAAAGTTTGAAAGAAAATTAGGCAAATTACATTTAAATGTATTGCTTCTGTTGAGTCATAACATACACTTTGTTCATGGGGTTGGCCCTATTAGTTTATATATTGAGTCTTACTGGAGATCCCTTATTTTTTAACTTCTAAATGCAAATAGATCCAAGTGTTTATTCCCTAAGAACAAACCAAAGCTTCAGCAAACCAGGAGTTGGCATTCTTAGATCTCATAATTTTTCCTGGTTTGTTCTTAATGCAAAAAAGGTGAGTGGATCACTTATGTTTGGGGATATGGAATTCATGCCCCATTTCTCCACCCTTTACTAGACCTCTAAGAACTAAGCCCTCATTTGATGAGGAACAAAGAAGACCCTCTCAAACTCTTATCATCTTTGACTCTCCTCTTCCCCTGGAGTGGGGTGGGGGGGAGCTATAAACAAAGAGTGTATGACTTTATAATTAAGGCCTTATAAAAACATCACACAAGATATATTGTCAAGTAAAAAAATAATAATAAAAAAATAAAGGGGCACCTGGGTGGCTCAGTGGGTTAAAGCCTCTGCCTTCAGCTCAGATCATGATCCCAGGGTTCTGGGATCGAGCCCCACATCGGGCTCTCTGCTCAGCAGGGAGCCGGCTTCCTCCTCTCTCTACCTGCCTCTCTGCCTACTTGTGATCTCTGTTTGTCGAATAAATAAATAAAATAAAAAAATAAAGTACAAGTTCACTAGTCATATGATTCAATGTATATATGAGTTTATTTTTATATAAGAGTATGTATTTGTATTAAAAATGTATAAACATGTCTATTTTAATAATTCATATTAAAATATCTGTAGAGAGAAAAAGGAAAAAGAATGGTACGAGGGAGATGTGCTTCGTGATGGACTGTACATGGAGAAGTGGAAGTGGGATAAATGAGGATTGAGAACAGTGTGACACTATGAGTGCAACGAGGAGGGGGCATATGAATACAATGCCCTTTCCTCTGCACAGCCTTTGGCACCATTAGGATTTTTCATAGTTGATATATTTTACATTTATAATCCACTTGCTAAATATTTATTAAGTTTCTCCTGTGTGCCAGGCACGATTCTAGGCTCCAGCAGTGGGGCAGTGAGAAAGTCAAATATGGTTGTTCTTGCTAGAGAAAACTGACATGGAAGAGCCAGTGGGAGAGTTTTGATAAAGGAAGAAATATGTATAAAAACCCAACCATAATGACCCAACCCACAAGAGGAGGAATTTTCCTTTGAGTTAGAATGGTGGTGACAGCTTACTCCTTTTGAGGTTGAAACTTTATCTTGGTAATTGCCTTAAATCCTGTTGCAGATAACAAACAAAACCTCGTTCACAGTAACGTGATAAGTAACTGATGGTCCATTTCCGGTCGTTATATTGCCACTTAGTTGAGGTGTAGAGACTCACACTGAACTTAAAGCTCATTCAGAAAACGTTAATTAGAAGTTGGGAATTGAGGAATAATGTTCAAAGAACAAATCCATTTTTTAAAGTGTTATAAAAGTAATATATCAATTAGCACTTTGGATTGATGTGTCCTAGATGTGGATTTTATTTCCAAAAACTAAAGTACATGGAGATGTGTTTCCATTTACAGGTTGATAGAATTTATTGACTAGTTTAATTTTACTACTACGTTTTTTTTTTTTCACCTCTTTGCACTCCCAGATTTATGGATGAAGTGAAAACAGAAATAAAGTGTCCCTTAAATAATTTCCCCCTAAATAATTTCCCTCATTGTGGTTTTTAAGCAGGAGCACTCTGGAAGGTGGTCAGAGTGACCCAGGAGGTGTGAACTGTGTTTAATTAAACAATATTGGTGAAAGAAATGGGCCGGTGCTTATCTGTAATTCACACCTCTTCAGTTGCTGTTATCAAGCCTTTAGAGGGTCTGTTTTCAAGGGAATTGCTGCTGTTGCTGATATACTCAAATAATAATTTATTTTCCTTTACTTCCTTATGCCCACTTTGATGGGAAAATGCCAGTTCTCTAAGTCCCTCCCTGCAAAAGGATGGCTATGAGTAAATATGGAATATTCCTTTTCTTTTGTACTTAAAAATGTAGTGAAATATTGCACTGCACCCTGCATATAAATACACAATTATGTTTGGCCATCTCCTTGGCTCAAGACTGGCCTCCTCAGCCTGGAGAGAATGATACTGTCTTAAATGTATCTTTATGGATGGAGAGGGATTTCGGTCCCGTGCGGTATGTCAGGGATCATGATGTAGTAAATCTATTCAAATGTAAACCTGTTCAATTCAATTACCAGTCCATAATAAAATTTGCTGCTACAACCCCCATGTTGACCACAGCAGTCCATGCAGGCTGATGGCACAGCAGGCCTGGAAATTGACAGACAAAATCTATTTAAACAAAAAACAACATTAGTTATAGAATCTGAAATGAAATCAGATTTCAACAGCTTTGATGGGAACCTTCTTTCCTTTAACAGGTATTTTTATTCAACTAGCCAAATACATCTTCTATCAAGGGCTGCCTGAGGGAAATAAAGAAGTTTTCATGAAAAAGGTGGTTTATAGAAAAAGGAGACTTTACTCTTTTAAAAACAATAATCCCTGGTTTTATTGACTGATGTTTCTACTAATGATGTAGGGTGCCAAAGGGAAGTGATGGCTTAGTGGACAGATGAGTCCGGTTGCATCACATTGTGCATCGTTAAATTCTTACAGGCTATGCCTTCTCGTTAGCCCGTGCCGGAATTATGTCTGAATGAACTACATTGGATTTTAACATTAGAATTTTTTTTCAAAAGACTATTTATTTATTTGTCAGAGAGAGAGAGCACAAGTAGGGAGAGCTGCAGGCAGAGGGAGAAGCAATCTTCTGGAGCCTGATGTGGGGCTCAATCCTAGGACCCTGGGATCGTGACCTGGGCAGAAGACAGATGCCTAACCGACTGAGCCACCCAGGTGTCTCTAGAATTTTTTTTTTTTAATATGTTTGTGGAGAGATTTTTTTTTCCCAAAGATTTTATTTATTTATTTATTTATTTATTTATTTATTTGACAGACAGAGGTCACAAGTAGGCAGAGAGGCAGGCAGAGAGAGAGGAGGAAGCAGGCTCCCTGCTGAGCAGGGATCCCGATTAGGGGCCGATCCCAGGACCCTGGGATCATGACCTGAGCCGAAGGCAGAGGCTTTAACCCACTGAGCCACCCAAGCGCCCCATGTCTCTAGAACTTTTAGGTCAAAAAATCGTTACCATTAGAAATGAATGATTAGTTGTGTGGAGAAAATGACAGAGTGCTGCAACATTTAAAAACAAAAACAAACAAACAAAAACTTCAAGAAGCACAGTTAAAAAAAAAAATGATAGTTCATTCAAATCCAAGTGGTCACACCATTCCACATCCTGAAAAAAATCCCCTTTTCTGTTTCTGGGCTCTGCTTTGCTGGTAAGCCTCACGAATGATGGGCCAGCATTAGTTTTTCGGCATTATGCCATACTGTATGTCAGCGAAACCCCATCTATTACAAGATATCTGGTCTCAACATTCCCTTTTCATATTGCTTATTTGAAGGAAATAAACAAGAACTAATCAAGGTGCACCTATAAATCTGGTCAAGATTTATTTTTATTTTGATCTCTCTCCTTGGTTATTTAAAAGCTATTGCGGGACATACTGGTTTGGTTTTACACTCTGTCAGTGGCAAAGAGAGACATTTTATGAAAGCAATAATTATTTTATTTAGGTATAGAATTCACTGATTGAAGGATTGAAGGGCTTTTTGCTCTTTACTGGTATGATGGGTTTCACCTTGGCAACTCAAGAATTTTTCTTTGACTCTTGTAGACGAGAGCAAGGTACCCACATGTATGCACAGCGTTCTGTTCCCCAGCCAGGCCAGCCCGTCCGCCAAAGTATAGCAGAATCAAGGAAGCATGGAGGGCCAGTACAGTTATTTCATGCCAAAGAGATGCTTTTCACTTGGCCTAT